TTGTTGCTTTTCTTCTTTTGTCTCTCCTCTATCCACTCACCCCAACCAATTGAGGCAGAAGGCCGCCCACCAAGAGATGGGGTCTGTTGGAGGTTTCTTCCATTAAAGGGAGTTTTTCCTCCCCACTGTTGCCAAGTGCTTGCTCAAGGGGGATTTGTTGGGTTTTCCCTATGTAATAATATTAATAACATTAAGGTCTAGACCTTACTTTGTAAAGTTTCCTGAGATGACTTTTGTTGTGATTTGGCGCTATACAAATAAAATTTGATTTGATTTGACTTTGGCAGGATTAAATCTGGATGGGACAGGTGACAAAGCAATGCTGGCCTCACCGTGATTAACACCACATTGGTCTTCTTGAGCAAGGCTCTTAACCCAGCCACTCCAATGGAGTTGCTCAGTGGCCACGGGTTGTACTGGGACACTTCCAGTTGTGAATGTGAACAGGGGATCCCTGCAAAGGGCAGCCTCTCAGTGGACCTTACCTTAAATAAAGGTTTAAAAAAATTGTACTAAAGTACAGTACTTGAGTAAATACACTTACTTTCCACCACAGTACACACCTATGAGTCAAACCCTCCACATCCTGTTCAGGTTGACAACAAAATTCAATCTATGACACCATTTATTATTAACAATATTATATGATTTATTGTTATTGTAATGCATTGTTTTAAATTGTATTTTTATACAATTCCCTCCTACACAACGCCCGTTTAGGAATGTGTAGCCTATATACGGTCTTTCTATGCTTGCCTTCCTACCTTGGGAACACCTGAAAAAGTTTTTAGCTCTGCATTCCTATTGCTTCTTTGGGCATTACAACAATGAGCTCCATTCCTTACAACGATTTTCCACACGTCACCTAATTTGAAGAACCGGACAGACGGTTTGTTTGTCGTCCCCACACCCAGTAATACCTGTTTAGAAATATCCGTGAGTCCTTCTGCACACTAAATCGTTCAGGAAATCAAGGATACAAGCTGATTATTTAAAGTTTGGTTAACAAATATACTGAAAATATTAGTCCCTACTGTATATCAGACAACATTTTCTTGAGCTATTTAAAGTCACTAAAGGCGCGTGTCTCAGTGGGCAGAGCTTCTCTGGAGTTGTGTCAGAAGTAACGTTAGCAGGTCAGCGAGACAACTGTCAAGAGGGAAACAGGGATAGGGGGGGAAAAAAAGAATCATTTCGTTGGAAACGCTCATTGAATTAGTAGCTGGTCCTACAGTGCAACGTCATTAGACACCAAGTTGTCAGTTGCCTTGGCTATTCTGAGTGTTAGTCCTAGCTAAGAGCAGTAGCAGCTAACGTAGCTTAGCTGTTGGAGATCTGGCCATCCGGGAAGAACTTTCAACATGAGGCTGAAAGTAGGATTTATTCTACGGAGTTTGCTTGTTATTGGGACGTTTCTTGGTCTGGTGGTGCTCTGGTCCTCTCTATCACCGAAACCCAGTGATGAAAACCCTTTTGGAAAAGTGGTGAGTTAACGCAAACCAACTCAAGTGTCCAACAGAAGGAAGTACCCTTAGCGAGTTAGCATTAATGTTACTCAAACACATCGTACGTTAATCTCTGAAAAAGAAGTCTAAATGATTATGACAACGGGTTGTAGAAGCCCATTAGTGTCATTGCTCCTAATCCAACCAAGGATGTATTAAAAAGCAAGTATGAGAACACGCTTCCATTCAGCTAGCTTTACTACATTTGTTGTCATGGAGATTTGTTCCTAGCTGCTTTGATTCTTATGTAATGGATAGACACTTTTGAATGGACAGTTGCACCCCCTCGTATAATATTAGTATCTTTATTCACACGTTATTATGAACGTTACAGTCCTAAATCACACAGGTTGAATCCAGGATACATATCCGCATTAGTCACCGTGCTGGTGCCATTCGCCTCTCAGGCGGAAATGTGTGTTTAACCAACAGTGGGCATAGGCTCAATTCAGTCGTGACATATATGAAAGTATTTCAGCCAGGCGTGGAGGTTACTGCGGAGGGGGCAAGGACTTGCATTGGACCCTTATACAGCCTATATGCTGTATGGAGTTGCGAGACAGAATCAACAGGAAATGTAAAACATATTGACCACTGCTACATACATGGAGGTCGCTTCTTGCTAATGTAGCCAACTTGGTCAGTGGTGGAGCTAGCAGAGGGACACTTGCAAAACTGTCATACTGAGAACTTTGTGAGCGGAACACGAGGCCACATGATTCTTCTTCTGTTCTTGCTCCTAATGCTTTAGTGCACCTGACTTGTATTTTTTTTTTCTAAATTTTTGCCAGTATCGACAGAATAGCTAGCTACTATGCAAGTCAGAGACAACTCGCATGCATCTTCACTTCAAGGGCTGTATCATGTTTTATGAAATAATAATACACACACACAGTGATCTCTCTAGCCTGAACCTGACATCTCTTTCTCTACAGACTGACATCTGTAATGATGGTATGTCACCTCTTCATTTTAAAGTGATTTCAGAAATTTCCTGACCTGGACATTTTTTTTATGCTTCCATTGTTCCCTCAAAAAGGGAGGGAAACAGAAATAAAGTAGACACAGTGATTTGACACCAGCAGCCAAATTGTCTCAAAGTTGGGGATCCTATTAAGAGGGTACTAAGGGTGGAAAATCAATGACCATACCAGATAGGCTGCAGTGTCCATGCTGGTGCTGTTTGCCGAACCCCTTGGCAGTGGCCCTGGACCCGTCTCTTACTTTGCACAACACACAGACATGGTCTGAGTTGGACTTCTTGTGTTTTTCCACAACCAAAACATGCAAACAAATTTTATTTTAAATATTCAACTAAACAACAAAAACGCAAGTTCAGTCAGGCAGACTGGAGCAGTAGGTAGGCCCATTTGTAACTGTGGACCCGGGCAGCTGCACTGTCTACCCCCCTGCCCGCTCCCTTCACTCCAGAATTCAACTGAAACTTAACTGCCCATAACAGCACAGAATTATGTACCCTGTTCTCATCCCCTCTGTTAGCGATTGCATGTGATAGACCTATCATTGGTCCATATTTAATTTTATTTCCAACTGTGTTTTTCTTTGATGTACTGTAATGCTAACGATGTGTGTCTGTATAATACAGAAAAACAATGGCACTGTTTGTAATTTGTTGTTTTTTGTGTAAATTGGTCATGAAATGTGATTTGAGCTCCACCAAAGTCACAAATATGAACAAACAATATTTCTAAGCTGCTAGAACAAACAATATTTCTAAGCTGCTAAAACAAACAGTCATGAGCTTTCATCTTGTTACTGAACACACCCATTAAACATACAATGTGATGGTGGAAAAGTAATGGCAACATGAGGCTTCTGATATCACTAAACATCAACTGGAGTAAGGTGTTTGCAAACCTGGAGTCCAGTCAATGAAATGAAAATGGAGGTGTGGTTTAGAACTACCTTGACTTATATAAATACTCAAACAGTGTCAGTGTGCTATTCACAAGCAGCATCAGCTGATGTGAGCCAGGCCTTGTAAAAAAGAGATCTCAGAAAACCTACGATCAAGAGTTGATTTGTGTGTAGCTGGAAAGGGTTAGAGTCATCTCAAAGACTTTAGATATTCATCAGTCCACAGTTAGACATACTGTCTATAAATGGAGACCATGTGGTGCTGTGACTACTCTCCATAGAAGTGGGTGCCCAGCCAAGATCATTCCAAAGGTACAATGCAGAATTTTCTGAGGTAAAACACGTGAAGGATTCATTGGAGCTGGTTAACATCTCTATTCATGAATCAACCATATGCAAAATATTGAACAGGCACGGTATCCATGGCAGGACATGATGAAGGAAACCGCTGCTTCAGCATTGCAGCCCACCTCAAGTTTGCCAACTAGACCACCTTGACACTCTACAACACTGCTGGAAAAATGTCCCGTGGACAATTGAAACAAAGGTAAAATTGGTTGGGAAGAACACACAGCTCTATGGATGTTGTAAAAATAGAACTGCGTACTAACATGAAAACATCATCCCAGCAGTGAACTACGGTAGAGGGAGCATCATGATGCGGGGCTGCTTAACTTCCTTTGGACCTGGACTGCTTGTCATTGTGGAGGGGGAAATTAATTTATCAAGGTATCCTACAGGATAATGCCAGGATGGCTGTTGGCAAGCTGAAGTTCAGAACAAGCTGGGTGATGCAGCAGGACAATAACACTATGGCTGAGCTGAAGCAGTTCTATAAGAAAGAATAGTCCAAAATTCTTTCTGAATGTTGTGCAGGATTAATCCACAGCTACAGGAAGCACTTGCTTGAAGTTATTGCTGCCACTGTGATTCAGCCAGTTATTAAAACACTGTTGCCATTACTTTTTCCACCATCGCTTTGTATGTTTAATGGCTGTGTTCAAAAAAGACATGAAAGATCATGACTGTGTTTTATCAGCTTGGAAATATTGCTTTTGTTTATTTCTGACTTTGGTGAAGATTGAATCACATTTCATGACCAGTTTATGCAGAAAACTAGGACACTGCAAACAGTGCCATTACTTTTCCTTGTGATTATGACTGCCATATCCCCTCATACAGGATGATAGCTTGCTGCCAAAAGGAGACCTACCAGATCAGTTTAAACCTGTGGTACCCTGGCCTCATGTAGAGGGCGTGGAGGTTGACCTCAACTCCATCAGACACAAACATGGTGAGAGGCACAGAGTTCCATTTTAAGCATCCCATAAAACAGCTCAACTCCAATACATTCTATAAAAAGACAAACTGACCTAGCTAAAGAGGGTTGTCTATAATTTAATATGTACATAACTACATTACATGATTGTGACTTTTACCAGCAAGGTACACTGTTACACTTGATCAGATTGTGGTTATCAGTGGTTGGTTTGATAACATTTTATCAAACAGTAATTACCTATCAAGCCTAAAATGTGAATGATTTGCTGTGCTGAAGGGTTGTAGGGATCTCACCACATTTTTTTTATTACTGCTTTGTGAGATTAATTAACTGTGTTCTTACTCATTTTTACCTCTGCCAAGGGCAAGGGCTAATGTTTTGTTGGTGTTTGTTTGTTAAGAGCATAACTCAAACGGTAATGAAAGTATTTTGATGACATTTTTTGGAGTGATAGGGTATAGCCCATGGAACAATTGATTCAATTTTGGTTCTGTATCATAATTTAGAAGCAGGAATATTTTAAATGATTATTCAACATTGTGAGTGCTTGAAAGACTGAATGTATGTGAGCACCCTTGCAACCAAAGAACATGGCTGCTGAGCACTCCGAGCTCATACGTAGACAAAGCTCTGTGTTAGTGACAGCTGCACATGCACTGTCAATGGAAACCAAGTGCTGTAACTCAGTACAACCTGCTGTGCAAGGCAGGGACTGGAGTCCAGCAAGGTGACAGTCCACACCTGTGGAAAGATATACTCTGTGCAGCGACAGGTGGGCGAGAGCCTGATGGCAGAGATTCTGAGCCAGGCTCAAAGTAGTTATCATCTTCATCCATAGGACTGGTATTATGCTGTTTTATTAAGGTTTGACATTTCCAGGCTAAAAAGTAACCTCTTAGATTGAGAATGTATGGGGAGTTTATCCAAGTAATGCCAAATATGTTCGTGTTTTCAGAGATGTGGGTGCTTCTTATCTGACCAGGCTAGGTCTAAGGTCTCTTTATTGGCAGGCAGCTACATTTCGTTCAGAGGACAGTAGTTTGTGGGCAAGGTCACCGGTATTCAGCTGCACACAAGAGCTGCATTTCCACTGTCAGAACCTAACGAGCGGTACATTGCATGCTTCCCTTAACCAGGGTTCGATATTAGTCATAACCCATGGCCACAAAAAGTTAGTGTGGCTACCATTTGTCCCCATCAAATTGCCAGCTGTGGCCACTAAGCTTTATCAGCTCCCTACTGAGAATGAGACCCCATGTCTCACACCCCCTGAACTTTGCCAGCACCATGTTAAAGTCCAAAATAATTGTGTTCTGAGTTTGTCATACCACAGGAAAAAATGTTATAAGAGTGTTATTAATCACCCAGCCAAATTTGAATGATTAAAAATATTGCCAAGTATACAAAATTAGTTTTCAAAATCATGAAAAAATGAGTATTCTCTGCTCTGAAACAAATCAAATCAAATCAAATTTTATTTGTATTGTCCATGGAAAAGTGTCCCAGTGTATTCGGCTGCAATTATTCAAAGTTTTTCCCACTGCCTCTGACGAAGGTACTGACATACCTTCGCTGTCCTTACTTCGATTGCCCATGAAGAAAGCGGCCTAAAAGGCGAGGGATTCTAGGATTGTCTCTCTGACTATCAGAAGGCTGTGAAATCTGCCAAATCGAGCTACCTGTCCACCATTGTCATCAGTAATCATCATAAACCTCAGGTCTTATTCGGTACAATAAATTTTGTTATCAGCCCATGTGACCTTGGTCCTCATCCTGAGGCATCTGTAGCAGTATGTGAGGGTTTTCTTCAATATTTTACTGATAAAACCACTAGCATTAAGCAGTCCTCCAGATCTACTAATCCTGACCCATTTGATAATCCTCTGCATTCTGCCGTCTTTGATCAGTTTGAGTCTGTATTTTTGTCTGTGCTATCTGAACTGGTTCACCACATGAAGGCATCTCACTATTCTTTGGATTGTTGGCCATCTAGATTGTTTAAAGATGTTTTTGACTCTGTTGATGCCTAGCTTCCATCCATCTTCCTCCGCTTATCCGGAATTGGGTCGCGGGGATAGCAGTGTAAGCAGAGATGCCCAGACTTCCCTCTCCCTAGACATCTGGGAAAAAAAAAAAACTTAGAAAAAATCAACTGGACTGAGAACAGTTCTGAGAACTGATGAAGCCTCTTGGATGAGAGGTGAAACGTCTTCGACCTAGATATCTAGTCCAGTTGATTTTTTCAGTTGATTTTTTTTGAAGTTTTTTTTTTTCCAGCTTACTATGACCTGGATGACTGAGACTCTCCCTAGACACTTCCTCCAGCTCCTCTGGGGGGATACCGAAGCTTTCCCAGGCCAGCCAAGAGACCTAGTCCCGC